CGAGTTTTAACATGCCGCAGTGCTGTGTCCCATGTTGTTTAAATAGATCGGAGTTAAAAAAAACAAGTGACATTCAACTGTCATTCTACCGCTTTCCCTGTGACGAGAAAGAAAAGAGAAAATGGCTGCAGTTGATAAGGTAAGTTACAATTCTTTCCTTTATCCCTAACACCCACTGGCGCTTAAGCGAAGCCAGTCCTTTAAGAAAAGGGCTTAGTCTAACGTTATGGGTTGTAACATTAATTAGATATGGACGAGCAGAGCGCTTGGACCCGGAAGAGTCAGACTTAACAACCGAATAGATTGATCAGATAGCGCCCCTTTAATCTTTTCTATTTTACCTGTTCATAATCATTTTTTGCATGAATTGAAATGCATGATTGTTCATGATTGTCATGCATGATTTTTATTGTATTATAATACATTATTATTATTAATGTATTTAATTGTATTAATGTACTTAAATGTACATATGTAAACGTACTAATGTGTTTGAAAATACACAATAAACATTGTGCAGTTAAAGCTTCAATTATTCTTTTTTCTATTTCCCACTAACAGTTAAAATAATATTTCTATGCATTTTCTACATATTCTACAGGTTACACAGTAGCACCATAAAATACAATAACATTTCATAACTGTATAATACTATACAGTATTATTAAAAATTAACAGTGTAATCCTGTACTTCAATATGGTAAGAAATTACAGTAAAATAATGTAATTTAATTTTACAGTATGCTTAACAGTACTGTAGTTAGTATTACGGTAATTTTACTGTTGAATGAATAACAGCAAGTACTGGGTAATTGTTGCCAGTAAGTTACTTTTAATTTAACAAGAAATTTTTTTACAGTGTATGTAAAAAATAATCTAGTCAGAGTCTATTGTTAATGGTATAAGACCAACTCTTTTCAGCAAAAGGCTCTGATGCAGACTGAATTATATGACAAATTTGCTGCTCTCACTTTTTGTTCACAACATTTGTCTACAAGGTGAGTTTTTTTGTGTGAAAAACGGTTCACTCGTTCTCTGACGGTTCGTCTTCATTATGCTGCATGGTCTGCTGTCTGTTCAGGATAAAAGCTTGTCCAGTTTGGCTTAGAGAAAATTTTCAGTGTTAATTAATTAGTGTTCCATTTAAAGCTGCAGGCCGTAGGTTTTTTTGGGTTACAAAATGATCCAAAATACATATTTGAAAAAATCCATAACCATCCAGTGTTCAAAACTATCTGCTTACCTTAGCTCGATTCAAAGCGGCAAGCTTGTAATAATGTTTTTAATGCCAGTGGTACTGATGGATTTCCGCGGGAGATTCGAGCATGTCTTTGCATCATTACGTCACATCTGTAGACATAAAGGTGAAGATTTATAGACTTCTCTCACAGCACTTGATATAATTAAACTTATCAATTTGATGGCGGATCCAGAAAGGGTCAAACGACAATCACCAGTGACAACAGATTCACCCGCTGTAAAATGCAAAAGATTTTGTTCGGACTTCGGAGTGAAAAAAAGAGACTGCAACCGGACCCATGTGAAAACAAGGATACATATCGGAAGGACATTACATGTCGTCACGCAGTGCTTGCTTACGTTGTTAACTTACATTTTGAGAACAGAGTATAATTTGCACGGTTTGGCGTGATATGATAACTTATAAGCGATTGATATATTTAATCAGCGCGATTTACAGCAGTGTCAGAAACCAGAACAAAAGTGGATATCTCTTACTTGTTCAGATTAAATTTTCCACTGAAAATTCTTATGTTGGTCATATTTCCAAAAATAATAATCTGGGATTCTGAATGCCAGTATCCTCAAACACTGTATAAATCCGCGCCATGCCGAGTCGAGGGGGTTGAAGTACGTAAAGTTGATAATTCTGCGAATGACTGCAATTGCAGATTTCAAACAGAGATGGCGACAGAGGAAAACGCCAGACTGCAGCTTTAATTAACAAGAAAGGGCCTCAGAGAGAAAATAATGGGAGTGCATAAAGCAACAGCACAAGAGATGAAATGTGTCGACCTGCTGCAATGGAACAGACTCTTCATTAGTTCATTTCAGCTTACAGAGCACTTGACTGCTGTATATACATACTGCACCACAAGAGATTCTCAGGCACTGTTCCTGGTCCTTATGTTTTCTCTGTCACACACCTACATACTCAATAGATTTACAGTTATCTGTAACATACATTTTTACAGGGATTCACTGAAATTAAAAATGATGGCTGATAATAAAGTCTATTTTGTCTAAATACGGTACAGTAATTTAAAAAAGAGCACAAAAAAGGATTGTTTTAAATGCTACAGGTGAATACACATCATGTTATAATGTACAAAATGAAACATTTATTTAGCTAAAGATTACATATCCAGTGTTATAAAATTAGCGTTTTTCAAGATAAACCTTAAAGGGCACCTCTTACGCCACTTTTTACAAGATGTAATATTGGTCTCGGATGTCCCCAGAATGTATTTGTGAAGTTTTAGATCAAAATACCCCACAGTTAATTAATTATAACCATTTAAAAATGTCATTTTTGGGGCCTGTTTAAAAATGAGCTGTTTTGGTGTATACGACCTTAAATGCAAAAGAGCTGCATATTCCTGCCCTGCCTTTGGATGAGGGCGTCACTTGCATACCTAAGGCAGTCGGTAAGCAGCAGGGCTGAGAGAGTAAGAGACCCGCTATTTTGAATGTCATTCAGCCGTACATGTTTGAATCGGAATATATAAATAATCTCTGATCAGACCCAGATGACGAAGAGACTCCGGCAGAATAAACACAAATGAGAATGGACCAGTATGTCTCGGTGTGGTTATTTGATACATTTATGTACTTATAGAGTTGTAATTGCGTCCCCTTTGAAATTATGGATATGCCACACATACACAGACACACACAAACACTAACGTTGGCGCAATCTTTTGAAACTACATACACATTCTGTGATAAAGTTTGCTACGTACAAGCGAAATTACATATATGCGAGGGACCTGTTGCATCATGTTTATTTGTCATACAGGTGCTTCTGTGGCAAATGTGAGAAGATGGCTAACTTACAGAACAAGAACATATGCAGTTTTTAATACAATATCTTTAAAAATATATATATTTCTAAACGTGTGGTTACACACTATACAAACAAAGTTTAAATTATATACACAGACATCCTATGACGGCAATAACTTTAGACGCATTTGTTGTTGAATTGGCTGACATCGACTGAAATTACTATTTGCTCAAAAATCATAAAATACACTTACTGGAGGTGACGTTGGATCACAAACAGTAGATGACGATCCACAGTTGAGGATTAACTTTGAAGCAAGACCTGCTTTCAATTGATTCTCGTTCACAAAACAGTCATTCAGAAAATGATTCGCTCAAACTTAAACTTATTTACGAAGGAAAGGCGCCACCTAAACTTCCAAAATACAATACATCCACTGTGTTTTTAGTGGCTCTGATGTCGTAAATAAGTGAAAAATACTATGCATGTCATCATTACATCCCATCCCACAACAGAACACTTATGTTTCCATGAGACATTACCGGCTGTCGTTGAAACAACGGAGGATGGTGTACAGATCACCGAGGGCGGAGTCTATGCCACAACCACACTGTCAATCAAACCCCTTGCTCAATTCTACGTCACAAAGAGCTGAATCTTAGAACAACTCGTTCTGAGACAGTGCATATGATTTATTGAGATTGTAAAAAAAAACACTGGGTGGATTTTTATCATTCTAGGGTGGTTTTGCTCACACACTGCCAACACACATTTATGTTCAAACACCATGTAAAAGTGAATTTTCCATAATAGGCGCCCTTTAAGTGAGCATTAAATGACAGTTAAGGTAATACAATGAGTATGCCTCGATCTACACTACCGTTCAAAAGTTTGAGGTCAGTAAGACAAAAAAAAAAAAAAAACTTATTTAGCAAGGACACATTAAACAAAAATGATAGTAAAGACATTTATAATATATCAAATAAATGCTGTTCTTATGACTTTTATATTCATGAAAAAAACTATCAAGGTTTACAAAAAATTTTAAACCACTCACCTGTTTTCATCATTGATAGAAATGTTTCTAATGTTTTCTTGAACAGAAAATCAGTATATAAGAATAAATTCATTTTTTTAGATAGCAAGTATTTCACAATATTACAATTCTTACAGTATTTTTAATCAAATAAATGCAACATTGGTGAGCATAAGAGACTTCTTTCAAAAATCTTACCAACCCCAAAGTTTTAAACAGCAGTGTATTTCTAATATTGACATTATATATAATGCCCCAATAAACATCCATACGGTGAGCTCTGGAGACCTATAATTCTATAATGCAAGAATATAAACTCTTTTTTCATTTTTCAAACAGTGATCTCCAATGTTCACACTATATGACTCAAGGGAACTCTTGGTCACAAGGCTGTCTATCATACTGATTAATTACATGAATCTGCTCCTCGAGGTAGAAGCCATGCAGGAGTCTTGACTCAGGCAATTAAACAGCACATTTTTTCCAGGGGCGATTCATCTTTGTACAGAGGAAGTGGATATAGTTGGCTATATCACTGGCTCAACTACACGCCAGCACCAGCCAGGAAAGCATCAAAAGCAACATCCGTTCCCCAGTGCAGTGCTATTTGTCACCTTCTTACAACACAGTGCTCTGTTAAGTGCTGTTTTACTTTTTTCTTCACGCTAGAAACAACACGAAAACGGTCAAACAACAGCACAGTTTGATTGCCAATGTTTTTTGTTCTCTGGTATCACTCTAATTGCTCTGTATTTGATTATGTTGGAACAATATGACTATTTAATACCCCAATTCCAAAAGGGTAAATAGATTAAAACAAGATGTAAGAGGCCATTAAAACAAACTGAATTGGAAAAGAGAAAAAGATAGGATCCATTGGCCAGTATGCCAAGTGAATAATAATACAATTACGAAGCGAACAAATAAAGCACAGACGCATTTTAAAAGTATATCTTAATATAAACATTTTATTCAGTGCATTGTATGTACACAACAAATAAGAAACAACTTGAAGGTACGTGACAGAGTGTCAGTCAGTACGTACATGTTGTTTGCCAGTTTTTATCCTGGTAGTTTTGAACATATGATCCAGGGAGGAGTTAATACACTTAGCCTAAATCATGCAGCTCTATTCCTGACCTCTCTGCAGTCTCCCATGCAACAGATACTGTAGAAAAACGAAACCCAGAAGGAAACAGAAGAGAGAAGAAACCCCCTCTAGCATGTATGACGTTATGTTGCCCGAGGGAAATAATATATACTGTGCTGCAGCCCACAAAATGGGTCCTTACTGTATACAACCTGATTTGTACATGCCCTGTACAAGATTTTTTTTGTATTTTTTTTTTTTACTTTTACAAATTAGACACACCCTAAAAAAATGCAACCAACTTAAGTTCCACAGTATAATTTTTTTGTTTGCTCATTTATATAGAAAATTGTCACCACCATAAGTAATACACAAAATGGAGTCCAGGTGGGACCAGTATCGGTGACCAGCATTGACCAAAGAAGAGACGACATAGGCGGGAAAGGCAAAAACACAAGCACACAGACTTAAGGAACCTAGAAAAGAGATGACGGGACGCAAACGAGACAAAAGGGGTCAAACAGCCATAATTAACCACACATCCATCTCCTTGAATACTGAAACCTCTCAATAATCACTCCCATCAGACAAAAAAAAACCTATTCATCATTCCCGTCCTGTCATGCGTGTATATATACATATATATGTACCAGTGTGGTCTGGCAGCTCGAGGGGAAACTCTTACAGTTCTGTCTTTGGTGCGCCAGATCTCCAGTCGCCGTTTAAACCTCAAAAAACACTGATGAGGGGGAAGAACAAGAGGAAGAGAAAGTAAGACAAGCTCACAGCTAATTCAAACAATTAGCAAGCCAAAGCCTCCTGCTTCTGAGAGGCTCAGCTTCTCTCTTCATGTGAGCAGAACGTAGGCTTTATATTCCCATGCTAGAGAGCAAGCCCTCTGAGCGAGTGCACATGAACACAGTCCCCTCCCCCCACACACGGGGGAATGGTCTCTTCTCTATTAGCTTCACACTCAGGAAGCATGGAGGACAAGAGTGGCTTTCTTCCACTGCACCTGTGCAGCTAAACCCTCACTTACAGCCCTGAACTCTTAACAAATGTATTAATTCATCAGGACCTGCAATGCTAGTAAATGAACCTTGACTGCTGAGATGGACTAAAACCAAACGTCCCACTGTATGAAACGCTACAATTGTTTTTTTTCACATGGAAAAGGCATTAATGAGAGTGTTAAAGGTGGGGGAAAAACAACAACAATGAGCTAAATAAACAAGCTAATTATAAAGAAGTCCAATCAAATGTTACTCTAGTTTGTAAAGTGAAGGATGGTTATGTTGTGTTTCATGTTGTCCTGAACCACTGAGAGCTTTTTTGGAGAGAAGTCTGTGTGAAGTCTCAAGCATTCAGAGGTTTTGGTGAAGGCGTAAGGTAGCGGGCCGGGCCGGGTAAACCAGGCTACGTTGACTCGTTCTGACTCACAGCTTTGCCCCCGTTCAGCACAGCGGAAGCACTCCGGCTCTTAGTGGGTGTCCCGCTGCCAGAACGTGAGAACTCCGTCAGGTCGTGCAGAGAGGGTTCCCTGTACATGGCCACTGAAAAACACAAACAAAGAAAGAGTCTTTGGTTAGTAAAAGCTTCCAACATTTTATGTTAGACGCTGTGCACAGAGAAAAGGAAATGGGGTGAAAATGTACTTATTTACTGCATGAAAGCCACTGATTAAGCAAAACAGACATTTTCCTTCAAGTTTAGTTGACTGAATATTTGCAGTATGAAAATAAACAGAAAAAAGTCAACATTTAATGGCTGATAATTATCTAAGCCTTATCAAAACATTTAAAAACAACAAAACTCCTATAACCAACAGAAACAAAATCATATAAGAGGCACAAGAAACTACATTAACAATATGGGAAAAAGGTCACTTTCAGAAAATTGGCGACGGCAATATAAAATTATAACTACTGTTCAAAACGTTGGGGTCAATAAGATAATTAAGAAAGAAATTAATACTTTTATTTAACTGTTTAACATTGCTAATAATAAGAAATGTTTTTTTGAGCACCAAAACAGGATATTATAATAGGATCATGCGACACTGAAGACTGATGGAGTAATGATGCCGAAAATTCATATAAATGACATATTATATTACATAAATATATTACAACAGAAAACAGATATTTTAAATAGTAAATATATTTCACAATTTTTTCTTTTTTTTTTTTTTTTTTACTGTATTTGAGCAGCCTTGGTGAGCACAAAAGACTAAAAAATCCTACCAACCCAACTTTGGCTAGTAACGATAGCATTAATATAGCTATTATTTTAAGAATGAGGTTTGGTAATTGAAGTTGCTACATCAAAATTGTTAAAATGTTAGAGAACCTCACTAAGTTATATACACACACAGGTAAAAACTGTTGCGGTACAGTGGAGCAGAACAGACTGTGAGAAGTGATTATGGAAGTCAAGCAGGAAAGTGCTTCGGTTCTGAACTTTTCAGCAGAAACACTTTCTTTAGGAAGCTAATATCTATGTCTATACAGAAAATGCATTGCCCCAACACCTGCTATCTGACACACATGTCTAACCCAAGCACTTCAGGCAACACGTTTACATCATAACTCCAAAAAGCCACTAGGTAGCCAGTGTGCTAAAATGTGTCTGTCTGATCATCTTAACTGTGGATGTGCAGTACAGGAAGCATCACAAACCCTTTAACCTCACACAAAGCTTATTCTGCCTGCAACAGGCAATCGATATAGCACTTAAGCAGAAAGCTCTAAGAATCAATAGTTGACTTATTGGTTGTGCAACCAAGTGTGGAGCTTCTCCCTGGAGGGATGCAGGAGTCTTGAGGCTCACGGCCAGCTCATTATTAGAGTTTTCTCTGAGCATTGTCATATAACATCTCATCATTAAAGCCAAATGTTCTGCAACAATGTTCTTCAAAGAGTGACTGCATCAATATGACAGTACATGGTTGAAGTGTTAATCACTTTTAAATGTATAAAATATGTTTCCCAATTATATTAATTGAACATAAAAATGAGGCCCCAGGCTCAGAGACTATGGATGAATATACATCAGCCGTATGGTGTCAGGTTCTTTGGGAATGGTAATGATCTTAAAGGCTGCACTCTGGACTTAGAATACAGTACTTTGTGAGCCGAGAACTGGCAACCGAAGCGATGTTCACAGTGAGGAGAAAGTTCTTTAATTGGTCCTCTGGAAGAATACAGCTAAGAAATTTTTATAAGGCAGCGAGCAAAACTTCCAAATCCCACTCGGTCTTTAAATGACATAACTCTCCTCTGCAACAACTAAACTCACAACTGACACAATCATCACTTTTCTACAAACGATTATGGTATCACCACCTTGCAAAAAGCTTCAATTTGTTAATATTTGATAAATGTATATGGTTAACAATGATCATTTATTAATCTAGGGTAATGTTAATTGTTTAATATACTATAAATTTATGTTAATTAATAATATATTATATTACTATCATAATACTACCGTTAGAAGTTTGGGGTCATATCAGTAAGATTTAATTTTTTTTTTTTTTTTTTTTTTTTTAAAGAAAGTATTAATTAATCTTTATTTAGCAAGGATGCATAAAATTGATCAAAGGTGACAACAAAGACATTTACAATGTTACAACATAATTATATTTTAAATAAATGCTGTTCTTTTGAACTTTCTATTGATCAAAGAATCCTGAAGAAAGTATCAGTTAAGTATCCAAAAGAATATTAAGCAGCACAACCAGCAAACAAATTTAGGTTCTGGTTCCCAGAACGTTCCTAAGGAACATTCTCTTTACGTTATCAAAATGGAACCAAAAAATAATCTACATGGAACGTTCCTATAATGTTCTTGTTTGGTGGTTCCCGAAAAATAACCTCATGGGACCATTCGGGAACGTTAGGGGAACGTTCTGTGTTTGCTGGGACTGTTGTCAACATTGATGCCAAGAAATGTTTCTGGAGCATCAAATCAGCATATTAGAATGATTTCTGAATGATCATGTGACACTTAAGCCTGGAGTAATGATGCTGGAAATTCAGCTTTGCTATACAGGAATAAATTACATTTTAAAATATATTAAAACAGAAAACAATTATTTTACATTTATTCATATTTCACAATAACAGGACACAAGACAGCATTAATTGGAAAAGCAAATTTGCTTTAGGCTTTTTTCTCAGAGAATGTACTGTACACTGAATAAGTGTACTTTATATTGTTATTTCACCCTTTAAGCACAAACCGCACTAAATGGCTGATATGACCTCTAAAATCAACTGTAGTAAATCATCTTCAAAGTGAATGTCCTTCAAAGCCAATGCATTACTAGTAACACTCACCATCCTCTCAACACACTCCAAGCCTCTATAGAAAAAGGAAATGCATTTTCACAAGCTAAGGCTTTCTCTGAGAACAAAAATGTTTCTCAGCTGCTAAGCCTCCATTTTTAATTTCTAATCAAATAAAAAGACCTTGTTTTCATTCTTTAAGCAGTGAAAAGCATTACTGATTTCTGTAAGTACTTGTGTGACATTATCAGACATAGGGCCCAATCATACACCCAGCGCAATGCAGCGCCAGGCAAGTGTTCTTTGGTAGTTTCAGCCCGACGCGGTTATCATTTTCACATCCTGTGCCACGTTGTTTAAATAGCAAATGCATTTGCAAGCATTTGTGCGCCCATGGGTGTGCTGGTCTGAAAACGAGGTGTGTTGAGGTGGATTGTTGTCCCTTGCATAGATGGTTGTCGCTCGTGCCATGGCGGATTCACTATTTAGATGGTGCAATTTGCAAGCAGAAAAACTTAACGCAGGAAACTTCCATTCAAAAAGGCTAAAAACGAATAATATCGAATCATAAGGCTGCCCTAAAAATAAAGCTGATCCGTCAGTTTGACTGGATGAGCTGTCAGTTTTCCATGATTTATTTTCAGACATCATGAGAATAACGTTATACTTCGTATTTTAACGTGACATGCTATAACAAGAATATCTATGGCAAGAGCTCTTTTCAGTCGCTGCTTTCTTTTCCTCATGATTTTTATTTTTTCCTTTACCATCCGCTGTAAAAGTATGAAAAAGGACAATATAGACTGCACATTTGTGGTCAGTTCTCCCAAATTTAATTTACGATATTCCATTAATAATTCACTGGAATGCATGAAGAATCTCTGGTTATTCTGCTCGAATCCTCAAGTCTCTTCCCAGGTTTGTTTTCACAGGTAAATGCAATTTATAATCTGTCAAAATGACAGAAATCACTTTTATATAGTGTCACGCAATGCTGAAGTTAATGAACATTTTTGATTTAGGGTTGTTATACAATACAGATATTTGCCTACTACAATCATATTTAACCAAAGACTTGCAATTTTGTGGCTATTTTTGGTCTGTTGCAAGTATCTTGTTGATTCTTTTAAATTTCATTTTAATGTCCGATGGTTGAAGGGTGAATCGATTAATGTCATCTCATTGTGACACTTTTTTAGCGTATTACATTCATAGAGCAAGCCTTTCACTGATTGCTTACAGCTTAAATGGAAGTTACACCCATAATTCATGCAAAGCTTCATGAAGCGTAGGAATAAGGTGGATAGGGACACGCCCGAAGTGCGTTTGTGCCGTGCTCTTTAGACCATGTGCTTAGATCGTTAAAATAGGGCCCATTATGTTCAAAAACTCATTTGTGTAGCATGAGCCATTTGAGAAGTTACTGCTTTACATAAAAGCAAAGCGGCTCTAAGTTTAGAGATTCATTTGTCTAATCTTCATTAAGAGAAAAATCCTAATTATGCATCTTTACTAAAAGAAGAGCAAGGCATTAAAAGTCCATCTAAAAGCAATAACACTTCATATGTTTACCTTGAATTTGGCACATCATTGATACCCAGAGACAAAAGTAATATTTATGTCTTTCAAATGTAAGCTTTTATAAGTCATCATGTGAAACCTATTCATACTTTTTCCACAACAACACATTTCCACAGAGTTAGTATTTTTTGTTGACAAGGAAGTATGCAGACAGCAGTTGAAAGTCAAAAGGAACTTTCGCAAAAAAAACAAAGCTCTGTTGTGTTCTTGTCTGAGATGGCTGCCTTGGCCTGGATGGAAGGGTACAGGTCTGTTTGCTGTCAAAAGCTGCTTTATCATTACAGAGCCTTTATGCATAGACAAGGCTTGAAATGGTCTGATTGTGCTGGCGTCAGCAGCGCTCCTTACAGACTCCACTATCCACACCTCATCAACTCAGCCAAGAGCCTGCGACCAGCGTTTCCCACAGGCGCATGGAGAGAACAAGGTGCCACACTTTACGAGGGTTGAGAGACAATGAAGGGGCAGATTGTGTGCTCACAGGCCCGAAGCCCATAGTTTTTAGAGAATTCATAAGGATAGTGGGGTACGTATAATGAAATTTCATTTTGACAAAGCCAAAAGATACAATATTTTTTATAAAAGTGAAGACAATAAAAGATACAAAAGATGCCTTTTGTTTTGTTTCCTGTCCAGTAGATGAATCATCAGGGTTCCCTAGAAACCTTTTAAATAATCATTTTCTAAAACTGCACTCAAAACATTCACTCTTAAGACATTTTTAGCTGATTAAATGTTTTAAAGCTAGATAAGGTCTCCAGCTCTAAAATCATCTTATAGAGGTAGTTCTCACAAAGAGCAACTTAAATGAATCAATAGAAATATATTAAATTGTACAGAGGTGTTGACTTACCTTTCAAAGGCTTGGGGAGGAAGTGTGCAGCAGGCTTGTTCTTTTTCACATGGTTGCCCTTCATAATCTCTCCTTCCTTGTTCAGGCCCAGGTACCAGCCCCTGCCCGACTGCTGTTGTCTATAGATCATGGAGGAGTATGTCACGTAGTAGTTCTCAAACACTGACTCCTTAAACTTGCACTCAGGTGTGAAGTGTTCCTGGACAGCAAGGGACAGGAGAAAAAAAAAAAGTAAAATGAGGATTGGCCCAGAAATAAAAAAATAATTTATGTGACACAATGGATTGTAATAAGTAATATGGTATTATGCACATTCATAGAAAAATACAGCATCTAAATATCTCTTCACTCTGAAAACTTACAGCAGAAGTTTTTTTTTTTTTTTTTTTAATAATTTATATACTTAGTATACAAAGACAACTATAGCTAAGACATGTAATAGGCTGATGTTCCTGCAAAGTATAAAAAATATATATAACTAGGCCTATAACCAGTTTTGGGGTGGGACTATCAGTCCAACTAAAGGCAGATGAGGAGGAAAACAATTTAATTACCTAAAACCACTGAAATAAAAGTAAATATAAAAAACCTAACACTTGCTTTATTTCAGCAAGTTAGCAAGGAAACATTTCTAATTTTCATTAAGTTTAACGTAATGTACTCAAATGAATTAAACTAAAACTGAAATAAAAATGAATGAAAAACATTAAAAATATTAATAAAAACTATATTTTCTCAGTGATAATAAAATAACACTGTGGAAAAAAAAATTACATTTTCCAAACGTTCTTATCGTTAATAAAAAAAACATTTGGTCCCAGTGCAATAAACTGTATTTTTCTCTTTTATCTGGTCCAGTCTTTTCTTTTTCCCCTAATAATCTTCACTCTCCCATTAGCACTTCCAAAAACAATCTATGTTGTAGTGTTGCATAAACATGCTAATGGAGTTTGAGGATTAATCGCTCTTCGGCTCGGTCTATGGATTGGGCCGTATTGAATATGTTCGAGAACACCGTGTGCACTTCAGTGATTCATTATACATGCTCGCCTCCTACTTGATCCTATATTGACTACATGCTACGTTAGGATATCGTAAACAGTGTAAGAGGGTGAAAAGATGAGAGACAGTGAATAGAGCAATATCAAATTACATTATTCTGCATGTTATCTGGCTAACTAATTGCTTTCCAAGAGGTGTCTAAGTCATTCACCAGCCCAATAGAGCATTCGAAAAAAATCAATGCCTAGGCAAAGCCACAATAACACACCCACTGCTCATTGATCCACACTTCCTGCTTAGTGTGTGTGTGTGTGTGTGTGTGTGTGTGTGTGTATATATATATATAGTCTAGTCTCAGCTGGTTAATACTGGTGAACCATGCAAAGCTAAAATGCAGCATATTTCTTAAAAAAAGAACTTGTATAATCTTTCACAAAAAATTTATTTCAGACACATCTTGGTAATAATATACACATTGAATTTATTATGCAAACGTTCATACAATATCCATCTCCTTAAATGCAAGAGTGAAGTAAATTCTAACAGAAAGTCATTAGAAGTGGTTAGATTAATATCCACACAGCCTTTGGGATGCTGTTGCAGTAACTGAACGGCTCCGTTCAAATGGATTACAGCACCTCAGGGTTTTATGGCTGTAATCTTTACTGTTTGAGTGTGGCAAATGATGTGGAAATATTACAGAGAGAGCTGTAAATCAAATTATGTTTTTCATCAGAGCTAAGGGAAGAAAGAAAAAAAGGTAAATAATCTGTCGTTCCGCAAATATCACCAGGGTAAAGTGTTCCTTTAGCTCTGAGAGCTTGATGCACTTAAAAGGAAAATTTACAGTAACTTCGAGATTTACACAGGAGACAGCAGATTAAGAAACATCAAATTGTGTTATTTCATGCTGCTTCCTGTATCAATTACATAAGTGTCTTTGCACATGTATATTGTGGCTACAATTTCAATATCTGACAAACATGCATAAGCTAATCAGACATCTCCCCACCTAATCCGAGTTTGCCAATTAAGAATTTCATCAGTTGCTATTTTTGTAACATATCAGTTCTATTTTTTTTTTAAGTGGGTAGCTCCAGAGTCATAGAGAGAAAGAGTTGCGACATGCTTTGATGTCGCCGCGACGGCTGTTCATGTTCTTCTATGGACAGACAGCAGCGATTGCATTCTTAAACTGTAATACACACACCCAAGGACTTTTAGACCTGTTATTCCATTATATATGTATATAGGTCTCACACACATCATCAACTCATCCCTCCACACTGGCATTTTTTCCCTACAGCATTTAAGCAGGCTCGGGTAACTCCACTGCCTAAAAAAATCAGTGCTAAACACACACAATCTTAGTGAACTACAGACCTGTCTCTCTCCTACCATTCATTGCAAAAATACTTGAATGAGTTGCTTTCAACCAAGTATCATCTTTCCTGTCCCTGAACAATCAGCTGGATGTCAACCAATCAGGCTTCAAGAAACGGCATTCAACCGAGACTGCATTGCTGTCGGTCACCGAAGCCAAATCATCAGTCCTCATCCTCCTAGATCTGTCTGCTGCATTTGACACTGTAAATCATCAGATCCTTCTGTCCACCCTCTCATCACTGGGCATCACAGGTACTCCTCTCCACTGGTTTCAGTCCTATCTCACAGGTAGGTCTTTCAGGGTCACATGGAGAGGTGAGGTCTCAAAAGCACATCAACTGACCACAGGGGTTCCCCAGGGTTCTGTTCTTAGACCGCTCCTCTTCTCCATTTACACCACATAACTTGGACCCATCATGCAGGCACACGGTTCCTCTTACCATTGCTATGCCAAAGACAGCCAGCTCTACCTCTCATTTCAACCAGATGATCCCACAGTACCTGCACGAATCTCAAGCAGTCTGGCAGACATCCCGGCATGGATGAAGGAACATCACCTGCAGCTCGACCTGGCTAAGACTGAGCTTCTTATCCTCCCTGCCTACCCGTCTCTAGAGCACGACTTCACTATCCAACAAGATTCTTCCTCAATCACCCCATCAAGGTAAGTCAGAAATCTTGGAGTAACCTTGGATGATCGGTTGACCTTTGCAGACCACATTTCAAAGACAGCTAGATAATGCAGGTTTACTATGCACAACATCAGGAAGATCAGGCCTTTCCTAAATGAGCATGCAACACAACTTCTCGTTCAGGCCCTAGTCTTTTTTAGGCTTGATTACTTCAATGCTCTTCTGGCAGGACTTCCATCATGTGCAATTAAACCTCTACAAATAATCCAGAATGCTGCAGCTCGTCTGGTCTTCAATAAGCCCAAAAGTGCCCACGTCACTCCTCTGTTCATCCCTATGCCCTGGCTACCACTCGCATCAAGTTCAAGGCGTTGACACTTGCGTACAGGTTGCCCACAGGATCAGCTCCCTCCTACTTCCACTAATTAATACAAGTCTACATCCCTTATCCAGAATGCAGAATCCTTGTCAGCATTTAAAAAAACACCTGAAAATGTATCTCTTCCATGAGCACTTAAAAAAATCTGGCTTATGCTACCCCGTGCAATGTCTGAACTTTGTATTTTGTTCGTACTTCCGCATTCCTAAGTTCCTATGGCAATCTATGGGAGTGTCGTAACTCTCTCTCTATGGCTCTGGGTAGCTCCACCTAGAGTGAAATCTCATTGGTCCAAAATTTAATTCAGCATAACTATTAAACATGACATTTTCTGTTTGGATGCAATTGTTTTTAAGCATGATTTGCTAAATTCATTATACAATTGTTAGTTTATAATATATATATATTTTTTTTGGGGGGGGGGGGGGGGGGGGGGCTTGATAAACAGTTTGGATATTTGAACTTTATATAGATTTTCTTTATAAAGAGTCAGTAAGTTTTGTTTTTTAATGCTCACCAAGGCTGAATTTAATTTAATCAATAAAAGTAATAATAACAATAATAGTAATAATTTAATCAACAGCAGAAACAGTAACAGTGAAATATTATAATTTAAAATAAGTTTTCTTTTCGAATATATTTTAGAATGTAGTTTATTGTGCTGAATTTTAAGCAGTCATTGCTACAATCTAGGGCTCAGGAATGTGTAATAATCTGTTGATTATTTTGATAATGTAGTTCATTCTCGTCCATGGAATGCACCACTTCAGTATTTTACCAGTTAATAGACACGGGCAAATGCAATCGAGTATATGAATTTAATCAAGGAATCGTGACATCCCTACTCCAGGCTTCAGATGAAAACAGTTGCGCTAATATATGTGTAAATTGGGATACACTTTTTTTTTATCAGGATTCTTTGAGTGTTTATTTGAAAATAGAAATATTTTGTAACATTATAAAAATCTTTAGTGTTGCATTTGATCATTTTAATGCATCCTTGTTTAACACAAGTATTCATTTCTTAAAAAAAAATCCAAATTGACTTCCAATTCTTTAAAGCTACACTGTGTAACTCTTTTAGTTTATTCTTAGCTAAAAACACTTAGTTCTTTCAAAAATATGTGTGCTCATTAATGTATATTTACTTTGTTCAAGTAATAAAGTATTCTCGTGAGTGTATAATATGCCATTGAAAATACATACGGGTAAGGGGTTCTAATGTCGGTCGCCATGTTGACCCTCCATCTTGAAAGTACATTAGCCAAAGAGGGACATACCTGTTAATTCAAGCTTCGCCTTTCCCGTTTACGTTTCAGTTAACACTCATGGACGAGGTCGAACTGGAAGCCATGTTAATCTTGGACTACATTGGCCACCGTAGTAGTTGAGAGGACACCGAAATCGGAATTGAGAGGAACAGAAACTAATATTCACTGGATGGTCATATATCTTTACACTGCTAGATGGGGGTAAAAATCACACAGTTTAGCTTTAACAATATTACCTACTTAACAAATACCTGCCCCGGGGTGTTGCAAAGATGGCCAGAAAGCGAACTGACAGGCTTAAAGGTAATTAGTAATAAATGTATATAGACAGATTTTAAGGCAGCAATTCTGAGAGAATGTCTCTTCATCATGTGTCCATTTCAACTGTCACACATCACAGCTGAACAGGAGCAGACTTGAGTCGTCCCTCTGCTCCGGGTGACTCACACAGACACTGAGCTCCCACACACACTGACAGGAACATTCCTGATGTCACAGACCAGTTGTGACATCCCACTTCCTCTGGGAC